TCTAGTCTTACACTGCTAAATTAGAGACAGCTAGTGCAGATAGCCTTTGTGTAGCTTTGCGTGAAATTCATAACAAACAAACAAACCTATGAATAAAATCCAGAAGATATTTAGTTGTATTTGTTTTGATGAAAAATTTAAAGAAGGATGGTGAGATTAGTGACCATAGGTCAGTATTATTATTCAAATAGCATCTCATTGTAATACATAAAAATATTTATTTTTATACCAATGTAAGGTCAATGGTGTCAACAGAAATAAAATGACAAACATTTACATTTTGTACAGAGGTAACTGTTAGTTATGTACAAAAAAAAATTTGCATTTACAAATAAGATGATTATTAAAATAAAAGTAATTTTTAGCATGTTTGAGCACTAATCATAAAGCAGTTTTACTTGTATTATAATCCTATCTAAATATTTTGACTTCTTACAGTATTATTTCTTAAAAAGGAATTTAATATTAAAAAAGTAAGAAAATGTTGGAATCTCCTTATCATATAACATTTAATGGAAAATCCACAGTTTTGAGAGCTCAAACTAGTTTTTAACAGAAACACATCTTAATGTGGCACTTAATTCTTTGTGGCATATCAAAATATCTAAAAAATAAAAACTGAGGAGGGATTGAAATATGCAGAGGTTAAGAAACCTATTTGAGCATAATGAGACAAAATGATACTGAACTGGGAGTAAGAGGTGAATTTGGACTATAGAAGACTATATAGACTATATTATCAGTGTTTACATGTGTATTGCTTTTTCTTATTCTTTCTACCTGTACTATAAAGTGAATTTCATTTCATCTGGGTATGTTGATCAGTTCATAAACATAACTTTAAATGACCATATTATTATTGTCACCATTGTTGTAAATTAACAAGCTATTTTTGTTGTACGTTGCATTGGTATGGAGAATCGTATATCGTAGCTTGAAAAGTTCTTTGTACAATAACTAGGAATAGAGAGTCATCCATGTCAAAAGGAAAATGGAGGATGTCAACACCTGTGTATTCCAACATCAGGCAGTCAACACATGTGTTTGTGTAGCACTGGGTTCCAGCCAAAGGATACTACAAAATGTGAAGCATATACCTCATTTGCTGTTGTATCAGAGCTAGAGAAGGTTCAGGGATACAGTTTGCAGAATCACAGAGAAGCAATGCAACCAATAACAGGGCCAGGTAGGTACTACTTTTTCAAGTTATTCTGGGAACACTTTTTAAAGGGAATTGTTAGCTTACAGACATAATAAACATGCTTTGATTTAATGATTTTACTGTCTGTAATCAAAGTAATGAAGCATTTTGTGTAGAATATGATGGGTCAGTAGCCAGAAAGATTTTATTATAAGATTGAAAAATCTTACCTTAAAGTAAAAAGTTTAAAGTGTGCTTTGATTTGTTAAGAGAATTTAAACAGCCTTCAAGTAATTATGTTTGATTGACTCACTGTCAAGGGTTTTTAATAGAAATAAATGTTTCTGCTATTCTTTTCTTTTTTTATGTAATAGGTCATAATATTTTGCACTTGGATGTTCATGTTGCCCAGAATCACATTTATTGGGTTGAATTTAATCAAGGAAGTAGAAATGGAATTTTTCGTGCCAAGCCTGATGGTACAGATTTTACCCATGTCATTTCTGATGGCATAGGTAGTAATGGGATTCGTGGTCTTGCTATTGACTGGATAGGAGGTAAACTATATTTCTTTACTTAGAAATAATTGATTAGCTAATAAATAAAACAGCACTATTTACATTCTCAAATATTAATGTTTTGTTGCAAAAAATCTTGACTATGGCTCATGTACCCAAGTTTTTCTTAAAGGCAAGAAAGATGTAACTTTTAATAGCATTGGAATACATCTTCATTAGTCAAGTTGTTTTATGCAAATAAGATTTGGTTCACACTTTAGACAATGTCCTAAATTACTAATGTAACTATTAATTAATGTGATATTAAAGACAATTTAAACTGTTTTTTATTGATTTGGCAGATTTGGTATTAATAATTTGTCAAAATTTTGATAAATTATGCTTTTCTACATGTGAAGGTGTGTTACACGTGTAAATAATAGTGTAAGAGTAGTCGCTAAGAACATGATTATTTATTCTATAAAAAATATATTGTAATAATAGTCGATAGAAGTAAACTTATTTTTCAAAATAGATTTTAAGTTTTGATAAATAAAGGTTACTACAGATTTTAAGCTTAAAGCTAAGGAAATATGGTTAAACTTTTGAAATAGTACATCTATACATAAACAGAAACAAAATACACGTAATATTATAATACTACACATGCATTCAATTTTTGGTACTTAAATTTGATGTTGAATTTGCTTTAGTTTTAAAGATAAGAATATTCTTTGCATCTGTAGAGAATCTTTATTTCACCAATGTGTTCCCTCATGAAACATTTGTGGAGATGAGTTGGCTGGATGGCTCCAATCGTCTTGTAATTTTGAAAACTACAACAGATTCACCACGTGAGATTGCAGTCAATCCTATCAAAGGGTACCTCTACTGGATTGATTATGGACAGTATCCAAAAATTGAAAAATCTCTCTTGGATGGAACAAATCGTACTACTGTTGTTGTAACTGGCATTAGTAATCCACGAGACTTGACCATAGACATCACAACACATGATGTTTACTGGGTTGACTCAAGAGAGGATGCTATACAAGTAAGATAAATTCTTTCTCACTTCTTCAAGATATTTATAACACCAGAAGAGACTTGGTCCCCATTAAAATGTTTAGATTTAAACTTTTTAAACAAAGTGTTATTATTTTTTTACTTCTGTCATATAAAAACTGTGTATACACTTCTAAGTTATATGTCTAATGTAAACTATCACTTCCTATTAACCCCCTTGCTGTGGACAGATCAAAGTGCACATGTCACGACTTTTTAGAGAGTTACATTCAAAATTTAATTTAGCTATTTATTATCGTGGTATATGAATAAACTTGGCATAAAATCTTAGTTAATAAACCAAATTTTAATATTATATAAGTTTTAAGTTCTTAATTTTGTAAGGAAATATTGTCAAAATCTCCAATCTCGACCTAGTATGAGAATTGTAACATTTGCTCTCTAGGTATCTCCTCTTCTCTAATTTATTTACCACCCCTTCTAAAAAGTATGGAATTTAATGTTAATTACTCATTATACATGTTATTAGTCTTCAATCTTATTTGGTTACAGAGCCATAAAATAGAAAATCAAACCCTCTTGACATATCCTCTTATTCATAAATTGCCAATAGATCTCATTCATATTTAATACTATATTATTTATAACCAAAAGAAAGCCAAAGTTTTAATCTATCAAATGATACATTACGTTGTTTTCTGTACAAAGAATTATCTATTTCACTTCCAGGAAACACATCGAAGAGCTTAACTGAATTTTTAACAGCCTTTATTACATAGTTAGAAAGCCAGAAAAATCATGATAGTTGTAGGATATTGTCTGCTTTTTATGTGTTATTATTTTGGCTTCTTAGATGCATTATTTAAATAAATATAAAATTATTTAGTGTAGTAGTACCATTAGTATAAAAAATTAGGGTTAAGTTTCATTGACATTCGACAACAAATATAAAAGATCCAAGTAAGCATTATATTTTTTGCTTTTCATGTATATTCTTTATTTGCTGTTATAAAATTAAAAAATGGGAAAATTATTAGGTTAGATAAAGTTAGTTTAGGTAAGACAAAGAAAAAATAAAAAACGTTTCACAAAGTATGGTTTCCAGTAGCTCTCGAGTTACATAATTCTATAGGGTGTAACTTCTGCCACACATTTGCCAAGTGATTTACACCTTGTGTGTTGGAATTATTAATTAGACAGGGTGCAAAGGGTAATAGAACAATAAAATTTAAGTAGAAACAGATATATATTGTTTCTAGTTTTAGGCTATTTAGGATAAACAAGTCTAGTTTCCTGTTACAAATTAAAGTCATTCTAGAAAGAAAAATGGTAATTTAGATTTCTTTTTTTTATGATGGTTATTGAGATTGGTCAAGTTGACCAACCTGTATAGAGTTAGGGTAGAGAAAATAACAGATAAAATATAAAGTTTTGCTGAAAAGAAACGTTTGAAATTTATTTAAGAGGTCTCAGAAATTATGAAAATGAAATTTGATAATTTTCAGATGGAGAAAAGTATTTTTAACCGTAACATGAAAATCACTTTGACTCCTTATATTCATGGAAAAATCTTTCATAAAAATATCTGATTAAAAATTCTGTTGTTTTGTCTATAAAAAAACTTGTAATTCTTACTGAAAGCTTGCAAAATTTTGTGAACGTACACAAAACATGTTAACAGTTATAGTATGGAAACTCTTAAAGTCAATGTAGGGTCAAGATTTAGGTCAAATTGACCGAGCCGGTAGAGAGGGAGTTAAAATATACACAAAAAAGAATTAACAATAAATGAAAAAAAGTATACAAGTTTGAACTTATTTTTATGAATTACATTACTTGCTTGTAACCCCTATATATATTAGGGAGACATGTATAAATATTGTTTACCTCTTATAAGTGTCAAGGTAAAGTTTAAAAAAAACAAAATGAAATCTCAAAATTAGATACTGTAGAAGAGCAAAGCTTTTTTGCATTTGTTGTACTCTATGACAATGGAGTAATACTTTTTTAAAATAATTCTTGATTATCAATAGTCATATGAAAAATTATTTTTCATTTGATTTATCTTTTACAGCGTGTATCCTTAAATGGTGGCAAGAGGCAGTACATTCGACGGAATCTGCCAAACCCAATGGGAGTAGCAGTACTTGGGTCTGAAGTTTACTGGGTAGATCGAAATCTTCGAACTATATTTAAGGCTACCAAGTTTCCAGGAAATACAGTTCCTCCTACATCTGTTGTATCTGATTTGGACACACTGAGAGACATTGCAATCTTTGATAAGGCTATACAACCTCCAGCTAGTAAGTATGGTTGAAAATATTTAGTTTTAATTATTTTTTTTAAATTGTTACTTAAGGTATATTTTTTAAAAGAGAATTTAATAATCTTCTGTTTATCCATTTCTAATATATATATATATATATATTTCAGCTTTCCACCGCTTGTTGTTTAAAATTGGGAAATAAGACAAGTACAGTATATTGGTGATAAATAATAAAATCTGGTCCATGAACTGTTTTCTAAATAAAACTTATAACTAGATCATTTTTATACTTTGAAAGACAAAAAATTATTGCAATCAAAAGTATGCTAAAAATAAAAAAACACCTGCGTGAACATTGTACCTTGCAGGCCAGGTTGTATGTTCCAGACCAGAGAACGGAATGTGTGAACAACTGTGTTTTGCCATACCAGATAAAATTACAGCTTTAAAAAGGAAATGTGCTTGTGCTTCTGGTGTGTTGTCATCTGATGAAAAATCCTGTGAAGGTAATAACTAATATATGTTAAGGTATTTTCTAATATGTATATATTGTATCCTGATAGTACATGTAGCTACACTGGTTTTAGTTTTGGCCACATATTATATAACATAACATTAAAGGACAGCAGAGGACCTTCTAGTCCATTTAGGCCATTCTATCCACTAAAAAAACTCAAAGCCAGATCTTATCATTTATGTATTTATCAAACTTTTCCTTAAATTCCTTTAAATTAACTGCGTCTACCACATCTGAAGGCAACCTGTTCCGAAGGCTAATCATCCTGTTTGAAAAATAAAGCTGTTTTAGCTGAAGATGAATCCTATCCTGCCAAAATTTATATTTTTATCCCCTAGTCTTATCATTTTCACCATTAAATACAGAAAAAAGATAATGCATCAACACTATCAATTCCCTTAACAATCTTAAACTCCTTAATTAGAACCCCTCTAACTCTTCTTTTTTTCAAGAGAAAACAAGTTCAGAGATCTTAACCTATCCTCGTATGACAACCTTTCCATCTCGGATATCATCTTAGTAGCCTCTGAACCCTTTCCAACAATTCATTGTCCTTTCTAAGGTAAGAAGCCCGAGACTGAACACAGCACTCCAAAAGTGGCCTAACCAATGACCTATACAGTCACATTATAACCTCTTTAGACTTGTATTCAATATTTCTGTAAATACATCAGAGCTATATCAGTATAGCTTTTATAACTTTCAGTAACTGGATAAACTAATATTAATGGGTAATAATTTTGAATGATATTTTAAATAAGTAAAGTTTCCTATACCAAATTAATTGTTAGGAATAAATACACTATTTTTATATGATTTTGTAGTTTTCTTGTTTTAATCATGCTTTTTTATATGCTTCTACATGTTTGGTGTTTTTCTTGTGTTCCTATAGATGTAAAGGAGTACTTAGTATTCTCAACAAGACAAGAAATTCGAAGCTTACATCTAGACCCTAAAGTATTAAGCCTACCATTTTCTCCCAAAATTAACCTCACCAATGTTGTGGGCTTAGACTTCGATTATCAAGATCGACGACTGTTTTATTCACGTATGTAGACTTGCTTTTTTCTAGTTGCTGTATTAAAATTGGGTTAAAAACTATGAAAACAAAAAACTGAATTATGTCTTGTGACAAATAAACTTTATATTGATTTCTTCCAGTGTTTTTGTGAGATCTCAACTCAGTAATTGTGATATTGCAAGAATACAAAAGAACAGCATTGTGATCTTTACTTAGTTAGTTTACTGCAGTAGGTTTGACTCTTAAATTTTCATACAAATGCTTTATTAATTGACTTATATAATGGATAGTTTATTTATCCTTTTAATTTTATGTGAAGAAATACGACCAGAAGGCAGCATCTCCTGGGTGAGCTTGGATGATTTCAACACTGTTCACACATTGATAGATGAGGGTGTGAACCCTGAAGGAGTGGCTTTTGATTGGACCAGCAGAAAGATCTACTGGACTGATTCTGGCAACCATAGCATTTATGCCATGAATTTGGATGGCTCAAAGCTTGTAATGATAACTCGTGTTGAACGGCCAAGGGCAATTGTTTTGGATCCATGTGAAGGGTATGAATAGTTAAAAATATTTTCTTTTTAGTATTGTTAAGTTTACTAAATAGTGATGAAAACTTTAAAGAACTAGTATAAATATTTTTTGTTCAATCAAATAAGCTGAGATTTTAGAATAAGCTGTTTGATTTTATTATAGCAAACCATATCTATACCTTTGAATTACAATATTTTTTTTTCTCACATTATTTTTGTATTCTTTACAATTCTTGTGCTATTTTAGCATCAGATATGTTTTGGTTTTCTTCCATCATCAGTGTAATTACATTATTTTCACTATATAATTATGCCTTACCACTATGAAGTATAAATTGTGTTTAATTTTGTTTGTGTTGATTAGGTACATGTACTATACAGATTGGAGTCGTTTTGGAAACACTGGAAAAATATATCGGGCTACAATGGCTGGGAACCAGAAAAAAGCTATTATAAATGACAATCTTATTCAACCAAGTGGACTTACCATTGATTATGAAGATAGAAAACTTTATTGGACAGATGCACTCAGGTAAACTTTCTTAAAAATCAAAACTCAGTTATAAAATATTCCAGCTTTCAGTGTATTTAAATATCGCACCACTATTCACTAGTGCTATGTGACTACTTAATTTAAAAGCTCAAAAATGTAAAAATAGAAATACATAATTTAACAATTATATATCATATAGCTGAATTCTTTTATTTATTTTTCATAGATACAAGGTTTTCTCATAAATACAGTAAAATCTCCATTATATTGGCAATGTAGGCCAGGCAAGCACCTTTAACTTTGAAATTGCTTGTGACCTTGAAATAACTCAGACCACCAATTGTCAGAAAGCTTGCCGAGTTAGATGGTCTGTTTTTTATCAAAAACTTATCAAAATCTGATATAGTAAATGAAATGTGATAAATTACAGTTTGTCAACAAAAAAAAAAAGAATTGGGCATTATTTCAGTCCAAATCACTTATCTGGCAGAGCTTCTCAACATCTTGCATATTTTGGATTAATACAATAATTATTTAGCTAAAAACTTAAGCAATGCTTATGAGGTTAGTAATTACAGAAAGAAGAATGTTCAAGGATTAATCTTGTGCTCCTATCATTAGCCTCTTCCAATTCAAAGATTTATCTGACAACAAAAGTGTTATAAGGCTTGCAAAAAAAACAACAAATTGCTGATAATTTTTATATTTATCATAGGCTACTGAAATAAACCCAAACTTAAAAATTTAGATTTCTAAAACTTTTTTCTTTATGAAATTAAATAAATAAAACTTTGTATATGAATGAATTTAATCACTGTAGCATTTATAAAAGACATGTGGAGAAACGACCATAAATGAAATTTTCTCAGTAACAAAAATATATTTGTGGATACATATATAATTTAAGGACACCAAGGGATCTGTTTGTCCTTCTAGGCCATCCCATCCACTAACCTAAGCTTTAAAATAATACACTTAAAACCAGCCTCTATCATGCATTTTATCAAACCTTTCCTAAAACTCCATTAAATTAACTGAATCCACCACATCTGAAAGTAACCCATTCCAAAGGCCAACCACCCTGTTAGAAAAATAAAGCTATCTTAGCTGAAGATGGCTCTCACTCTGTCAAAATTTATATACTTTCCCTAAGTCCTATTACTCTCACCAACAAATACAAAAGTACAAAAGAAAATGAGTCATCAACACCATCAACTCCTCTAACAATCCAAAACACCTCAGTGAGATCCCCTCTAACTCTTCTCCTTTCAAGAGAAAATAATTTCAGAGGTGCCAACCCATCCAAACAGTCCTCCTCTGAATCCTCTCTCAACAATCAGTGTTCTTTTCCAAGACCAAACACAACACTCTGAATGTGACCTAACCAATGACCTATACAATGAAAATTATAATTTCTTTAGACTAAAATTCAATATTTCAGTAGATAAAACCTAAAATCCTATATTCCCTGCCACTAGCAACAGCACACTACTTGGATGGCTTAACTCTTTCAATACGGGGTCAGTCAATGTGACGACCTCGTAACCATTTTGTGCTTGATGTAGTTTTCATACTATAACTTTTAAATTAGTAAGTGAACGTTTACAAAATTTGGCAGATTATCAGTAAACATTACAATGCTTTAATATGTAAAGCATAGCTATAATTCAACTTACTGGTAAATCATAAAACAGGTTAATACATTATTTTATCAAATAAATAAAATTTAAGGATTAACTTGTGTACTTGAACTTAGATCCCTTAGTTTAAATTCAGCTTATTGTTATAGGTAGGTTATAATATAAATAACGCTAACTATGTTATATTATTAACACTACTTACACTAGTTATTGTCACTTCTAATAAAGTTATATTTCTAAGTTCTATATAATTTAAGATAAACATAATTACTTCAGTGTGAAGACTAAAGTAGTGGTAAAAAAAATAACATAATTGATTCTTAAACATTAGGCTTAACAGTAACAGTGTTGACAGTAGGCCACTGGTATTTGGTATTGAGTATTTATTTTCAGTCCATAAGTATAAATACAATAGTTAAGACTAGTGTAGGAATTATAAATTTGCAGATTGTTAGGTGTAATGGGTGCAATGAGTGGGCTTTATTTGGTAACTCGGGACTGGAATGTACTTTTAAGGAAGCTAGTAATGAAGATGTACAATTTATATGTAGAGTTTCTAGGTTGAAGGAGAAGTTGGTGGTTATCCTAATTGAAGGATAGACAATAGATAAAGAGAAGTGTAAACTGTGGGAAATGGTAGTGGGATTTCAAGAGGAATTTAAGCTTTTACATGCAAGGAATACATCAACTAACAATGACTTTCCTGAAGTTAGAAAGAGTTCTATTAGGGCTAAAAGTAGTGGATTTAATTTAATGAGCCTATTCTATTGAGTAACAGATTTCAGTCCTTGGCTTCTGCAGACAAGGAACTATTGGAGGGAAAGAAAACAAAAAGGACAGGGAAGGATATAGATGATAAACTTAAGGAGGTTATAGTTATAGGTGATTCCTTGATAAGACACATGGGTAGGATAGTCTGCGGGGTAAACAGGGAGAAAAGAATTAGATTATGCTAACCAGGGTCATGGGTGGAAAATATAAGTGACAGAACAGGAGATATAGTAAAGGGGGCTAGCAGAAATGCAGTTTTTGTTGTGTGCACATAGAGGCTAATGATGTAGGGAAACTAGGTCAGAGGAGCTAATTAATAAGTACAAGAGGTTGATAAAGGCATTTAAAGAAAAAGGCCATAACTTAATTTTGTCAGGGATACTGCCCAGAATTAAATGTGGGGATGAGAAATTATGAGTAGGTCAGCAGGCCTAAATGCATGGCTTAGTTTAATAAGTAAGGATGAGTAGATAGGTTGGTTGGACTTGTGGGATCAGTTCAGTGAGAGAAGGGAGTTTTGGGTGAATGGATCGCTTGCCTTTAAGTAGGGTAGGAACTGGTATCTTTGCAAGGGCTATTAACTCAGCTGTAAGGGAAGTTTTAAACTAGGGCTAGACAGTGGTGAGGGCCAGGATAAACTAAATATAAAAAGAATAAGAGGTAGAGAAAAGTTTGTCATAGGAAATGAGTATAGAAGTAGTTATAAGGGTAGGCTTAATTGTTACTATTGTAATGCTTAGAAGTATAAGAAATAAAATGGATGACCTTAGAGCACAGGTAAGAATGGAGGATTTTGATATAATGGGAACAACTGAAACATGGTTAAAAGTAGATGATTTTGATGACAGAAATTTCTTTGAAATAAAGGATTACAGGTTATTTAATAGGGATAGAGTACTGAAGAGAGGAGGAGGAGTGGCTTTATATGTAAAATGTTAGTTACATCCTTTTGAAGTTGAGGATATGAAAGATAATAGCAAGGAGGTTCAATCCATTTGGGTTTCTATTAGTGGATATAAAGGGAAAAGGCTTTTCATAGGAATTTGTTACAGACCACCAGATGATACTGAGGGAATTAGTGAGAAAGTTTACAATGAAATTAAGATTTCAGCTGTTAATGAAGTCATAATTATGGGTGATTTTAATTTCAGGCATATAGATTAGGAAATGTTAGAGCCAAACCATGAGGGAGAAATGTTTTTGGAAACTGGTCAAGGAACCTACTAAAAACAATGCTATTTTAGATTTATTGTTAACTTCAAATGCAGAAATGGTTCAGAGGGTGGAAATTGGGAGAACATCTGGATGCAAGTAATCATTTGTCTACTGGGTTCAGTGTTTTGCTGGAGATGGAGATATGGAATAATTATATTTTGGTTACAAATGAAAAAAAACAAAACAAATTTTGAAGGGATGCAACAAATTATTTGTTGTGAATTGAGCAGCTGAGTTATTTGGAGACACTGATCAAATGTGGAAAATTTTTAAATATTCAAGGTAAATATATTCCTTATACAAAGAAAAAGGTGGCTCCAAGTAAAAAACCAGGTTGAATCAGAAAGAGTATAAAAGATAAAATTAAAGAAAAGCATCATAAATTTAAGAAATTTAAATTGACTTATGGGAGATTATAGAGAATTAAGAAAGTTGAACAATTGATAAATGGAAACGAGATCAAACAAGATGACTGCATTAATTCTGAGCTGTTTAAGAAATAATTGGGAAGTTTAAAGAACAATAAGGCTCCTGGGCCAGATAATATTTCACCAAGAGTTTTGAAGCAGATTAAGGATTGGATATATGAGCCACTTGCTACTATTTTTTGTCAGTTTTTGAATAGTGGGCAGGTATAAGAGGGTTGGAAGTTAGATAATGTCACTCCTCTTTTCGAGGGAGGTGATAAAATTTATCCCAGTAATTATAGATCAGTTAGTATTACATAAGTTGTGGGAAACGTTTTTTGAAATTCTGATTAAAAATGCCTTTTAATTAAGTTTAGAATTTTATTGGATAGTCAACATGGTTTCACTAAGGGAAAATCTTGCCTTACAAATCTTTTGACATTCTTTGAAAAGGTTACTGCTTATGTAGATGAGGGTAAGGGTGTAGATTCGGTGTATCTAGATTTTCAGAAAGCATCTGACAATGTGCAAAATAAAAGACTTGTCAAAAATTATCTCTATAAATGTGGGGTATATGTTAGCAAGTTGGATAGAAGAGTGGCTGGATGGAAGAAAGCAGAGAGTTGTTACAAATGGAGTTCAGTCAAACAAGTGGGGTACCTCAGGGGTCAGTCTTAGGACCTTTGCTCTATTTCATTTACATTAATGACATAGATAATGGAATGGTAAGTTACTTAAGTTTACAGATGATATTAAGATCGTGAGGGTTGATAGCTGTGAAGAGGATGCTGCTGATTTACAAAAAGGATTTAGATCATTTAATGAGTTGGAAAAATAAATGCCAAATGGGTTTTATTTATAATAAATGCAAGCTCATGCATGTGAGTTATCATAATTTTAATTATAAGTATAATTTGGATGGGAATAATCTTAACAGTGTCATAAAAGAAAGGGATCTTGATGTAATAGTTGATCAGTTTCTTAAGTTATCCAGGCAGTGTGCTGTTGCTAGTGATAAGGCAGATAGTAAGGTTGTATCTACAGAAATATTGAATACAAGTCTAAAGATGTTATAATATCATTGTATAGATCACTGGTTAGGTTACATTTGGGATATCATGTTCAGTCTTGGGTTCCTTATCTTAGGAAGGACATTGCATTGTTAGAAAGGGTTCAGGGGAGGCTGACTAGAATGTTATCTGGGATGGAGGGATTGTCATACAAAGAGAGGTTGAATTCTCTCAAATTGTTTTCTCTTGAAAAAAGAAGAGATGGAGGGGATATGATTCAGGTGTTTTAAGATTGTAAAGAAAACTGATAGTGTTGATGCATCATCTTTGTTTTAGCGGATGGGGCCCAGTATGGCAAGGTGGTTAAGGCACTCGACTCGCATTCTGAGGGTCATGGGTTCGATTCCCAGGCCCACCAAACATGCTCGCCCTTTCAACCTGGGGGCATTGTAATGTGACAGTCAATCCCACTATTCGTTGGTAAAAGAGTAGCCCAAGAGTTAGCAGTGATGACTAGCTGACTTCCCTCTAGTCTTACACTGCTAAATTAGGGATGGCTACTGCAGATAACCTCTGTGTAGCTTTGCGTGAAATTCAAAACAAACAAATAAACATCCAAGATGGACTAATAGGTCCCATGTTGTTCCAAAACATTATAATATGTGTAGATGAACCAATATCTACCAAAGTAAAAAAAACTGAAAGGTGAGGGTTATGGATATCATATTATCAGTAAGTAGTTAAATGTTTAAAATCTTTGTTCACAATCACCTAACCATACAGAATAAAATTATCTGAAAATGAGAAATAGTCTAGTCGTGTAACAATTTCAGGAGAAATTAGGAAAATAGAGTAAATTATCCTGATTCTATTGTAGTTTTGTTTGTGAAAAATAAAATAAGCATAAAAATTATGCTATCAGATTTGTTGCATGAATGAGGTCCAGTATTCTTTCACAACATGAATACAACATAGATAATTAATGAGATTAAATGTTATATTTTGGTTTTATAATAGAGAAAAAATAGAAAGGTCTGACCTTAATGGGACCAACAGAGAAACCTTGGTGTTTGCTACCATCTATCCATTTGCTATTACCGTGTTCGGAGATTACATATATTGGACGGATCTTCAATTAAGTAAGTAGTACGGAATAATATTATTTTTAATTGTCATTGTAAGTTGTTTATTATTACTGTAAAGTAGAATGTTCACCAAAGAATCCATGTTTTTATATATTGATAACAAGAATTTTGTTATGAAATATGACTGACCCTTTCCGTCTACGTAGTTTTGTATTCAAGCTAACTGTATATACATAAGCACAGAAAGAGAGAGATTTATTACTTTGCTTTAACAGTAACAGATCATAAACTGTATGATGTGTATTAAGTTCTGATCTTTTCTTTAATTTTTATTTATTTATTGTGTAATTACTAGGACTTGTATTTTTCATGAAGCTAATCATCATTAATTATTATATAGGAGGGGTATACCGAGCTGATAAGTATACAGGGGCAGGAGTCATGGAGATGGTCAAGAGACTGGAAGAATCTCCACGAGATATTCATATCTTTGCCCCAGACAGGCAAAAATGTGAGACAAATTAAATGTTACATAATTATTAGATATACAACTTGTAATTAAAAGAAAAACTTAATTCTATCATGTGTAAAAACATAATTTCAAGCAATGAAGACAGAAAGCAGATTAGTTCTTATGTGCTATGTCATTATAGATTTAAATTAGTATGTAGTCATAAATATCAAAATGTAAAACATTCATTATGTCGGTTCTTTGTTTTCTTTAAATTTACCTAAACAGTATAAAGCTTTGAAATTTTGAAACAAAATCTACTTGTACATATTTTCTATGTATGAAACATCATATATCCACACTGATGAAATGTATAATTAGCACATTCCATTAAAACAGACATGTGACTTTTATATTAGACAATTCAGCTATTTGCATGCATTCTGGAGCACACAGCATATATGATCAGAAATGTACTTGTAACTGAACTTCATGTGAGTGAGGGATCAAGAAGTAACATAGGTTTAATAGTGGTCTCATGCTATGTTACCTGCTATTAGACACTCATTTTTACATGTACCAGGGATGAGAATTATCTGCTGGCTGACAAATTCTTGCTTTTTTTTAGACACACTACCGGCCATTCATGATATTGATGCAAATCTGTTTAGAAAAAAAAATACAATATTGGCATTAAGTTAGAGGCTGAAAATGAAATTCTCTCAAACATGCCAAGGAAAACCCCTGGAAGTAAATCCTGAAGTCTGAAAGTCTGCTTGACCTATGACAAACAGTCTTTCTAAATCAGGCTTGGCTCTGTTCAGTAGACATATTAGTAGTTCAGTAGCCTTATTAGAACTAGCACATGTGCGTTGTTTTTGCATTCATTTTGAAATGAAAATGCTGCTGAAAGTAGATGAGGTTAATTGGAATTATTAAATTTTTATTTTAAACTAGTGAAAGTACCTGTCTATGCTTGGGTTATTAGGTTGCATTTATTCTAGATGACTATGTCAGTGTGTGTATTCTGAACCTATTTTAGTGTCCCACAGGTGGACATGGTCTTCAACTTGTAGCTTCTTTTGGTTTATGTGAATGAATCTCAGCCTTTCTCTTTCAATTTTGACATATATTATAATTTGCTCAGTACGATTTTTAGTGTGGGGGTGCAAGGGAGCCGTAAGTGTAGTGAATGTTGGTATGATTTAAAGAAATTGATAAATAAGCCTAAAGTAAAAACATTGTGTGAGATAACCTAACCTAGAGCCAAGTGCATAAAATTTATCATGAAAGTAAATATATCAATTGAATTTTAAATTTAAATCATTTCTGAATTAAGGTATTTTCTGTTATATATCCCCAGTTTTTAATAAAAACAAACTTCTTTAATCAACGGAGATTCTAAATTAAGAAATAAATACTTTTCAAGTTTTATTGTTTATACATTTCATTTTATACTTTCAGTACATATACTAACAACAATATTAAGTTATACTTTTGTTGCTAAGCAATATGACATAAAAACCATTGTTGGAACATGTTGTTACCAAAATGTACTGACTTTTCTATCTATTAGAAGATGTTAATCTTACCAATATGCTACAAGGTATACTATGGGGTGGTTGTATTTGGCTCGTCCTTTTTGACGGGCTATACGTCTATAATAAAAGAGCATGTCTGTCTGTCTGTGATTTCTAATGTAAGGAACCACTTCTTTTCAATGTGGTTTTTCTTTAGCTTGCCTTATCTTAAAAATGTGCATATGCTTGCACACATGCATGCATGTTGTCAGATATAAAAGACTGTTTAGTGTACATAGTATTATTAATTGATTTATTTTGTGTTTGTAATTCAGTGATGTTGAGGCTTTCGAACATTGTGTTTGCAATCCATTGGTATTGAGGCTATAGAAATTTCTAGCAGGCCTAACTGATAGATGTATAAATAGCTGCGACCAGACGAGCAAAAATAAAAGTAAAGTCACGTGAATGAGAAGTTCGATCAGAGAAAAGTTAACTGTACTGGCAGTAAATGGCCTAATGGTTTATATGTTAGAGTGAGATTAGCAGTTTGAAAGAGATAAGGAGAATAATTCATCTAGTCAAAGAGTGTTCTAAACTAATTGAACCCACCTGTGTTGACTTTGCAAAAGGCAGATTATTGTTGGAAGTACAAAGAGCAGACAATTATTGGAAGTACGAAAAAGTTGATGATTATTGGAAGTTCAGGACACAACTGTGGTAACTCATGCAATGAATTATATATAGATACTATTGCAATAAAAACAGAGAAAAATAGTTCACCTATTGTGCACCTATAAAAATACTTCAGCAGTTGAAAATTCATCTATATAAATTCAAGTGGATAAATATAAAAAAAAACAAAACATTTAAGGTTATAAAATTCCATTCCAGTGTTCATAAATAAATGTATTTACTAGAATATTCTTCATTTTTTAATCATTTGTTACTAGGCCTGTGTATATATGAGATGCAATAAGGCATCATGTATTAAAAAATGATGAAGTTAAAATATAATTGTGCAGTTGAAAAAATTCTTTAAGAAAAGCTCTGGTAATAGTAAAAAATATTCCTTGCAATTTTTAAGCTGTAGTTGCATTATTGTGGCAGTCAATCCCTTTGGATGGTGTGTGTAGTAAGGTGATGCTGACTGGTTGTTTTAACTGTGATCAGTAGTTCAAAATTAGGAACAGTAGCAAATAGCCTTAATAGCTTGGGAATAAATATTAAATAAATACACTGTCTTATAACAATGTACATGATCTAGTGATGAGTTTGCTAGACTCTCAGTCCAAGAGATCATAGTTCATGTCTTGTTGCCACAAAGTTGTGCTGTGAACTTTGGGACCATAGATGCATTATAAGAATGTCAATCAACTTCCACAACTTGATTAGAAAAGCCCAAGTGTAAGCAATGCCTGCTGTTGACTAGCTGCCTTCCCTCTAGTCCATAAGTTAAAAATAATGATGACTAGTGCAGGTAGCCCATGTTTGTGGCTTTGTGCAAATATCCAGAACAACAAACAAAACAGTGTATGTTGAGTCAAATAGTAATATAGCATGAGACCATTGTCAAACACACCTCTCCTCTTCATTTATTTAACTGTACTTATACTGTATTTACATCTCTGATTGTTAATCCTTCCAAAGAACCTTGAATCAAAGAATTTTTTTTTCAGATGTAAATTGTGTTTCTTTTTATGAATTACATGCATCAGACTTTCAGAAATATTATGTTCCAAGTATCACGGAAATTGATAACTGCCATATTTATTCAGTGATGAAAATATTTAACTGTCATATCTCTTCAGTTATAAAAATATCATATTTCATGTGTTTCTTGTTTTCTGAGGTTCTTATATAATAGGGCATTAAATAATTTGTATAGTAATTATATAATGTAATTTTTTTCAAAACATTTTTTTATTAATGATATTGTTTATTCTAGGCAAACAGAACCCATGCAGCCTAAACAATGGAGGGTGTGCCCACTCCTGCCACCAGGCCCCCAATGGAACTGTAGAATGTTTGTGTAATTCCACTTTCAAAATTGCTAATGAGGGACGTATGTGTGTTGGTAGGTACTCATTTTTCATTCTGCATAACAAATCCTTTTCAGTATATATTTAATGTATTAAAAAATAGAAAATACTAAAATTTTCATTTTATAATTTTTATCACAGTTTCATTTCAAATATTTTAGTTCTAAAAATAGCAAAAAACAGTTTGATAAAGCTGTACTTTCACATGCAGCAACTAACATTACCTGTGACGAAAATAAGTTTACTTGTGCCAATGGCAAGTGTATTCCCCGACTTTGGGCCTGTGATGGTGATGATGATTGTGGTGATAATACTGATGAAGATAAGAAGTTTTGTGGTAAGTATAAACATATTTCACTGACATAGATTTAAGTGTCAAGTAAGATTTATTAATTTTCAAAAAGTATTAAAAATCAGGCTTTCAGTTGTAGATGTGTTGTAGGGTCTTATCACTCAGTGTTTTTTGTTTATTAAAACCATTAAGAATTGAACACCCATATTGTTTTAGTTGATATTTGTCATGTAGCATTGATTTCTTTCTTCTTCATCATATTATGACTGCTAAGTTGATTTATTAGTAAATAATATTACAACTCATTATAAAAAGAACAGCATATTTGCTGTAATCTAAATCATTGCTCTGTGGCACAGTTTTTTATATAGTATGTAAATAAAAATTTTAAATTGTTATTATTTATGATAAGAGAAACAGTATATAGATCATAATTGCAAAGCATTATCAACCTAGCACTACATACGTGCAGTCCATCAGAATTTCGCTGTGGAAACGGACGCTGTGTTTTCAAGACTTGGAAGTGTGATCATGAAAATGACTGTGGAGACAACACAGATGAACAAGACTGTGGTAAGCTATCAGTAAGTTAAGGTAATTTATTAAAGTATTCATGTAATTAAAAAGTTGTTGATAATTTCATTAACTGTGTTTCTGCTTTTCTAGCAGTTGATACATGTTTGTAACTATGAATGTAAATTAATAGGAATTAAGAGTAGATTTTTATTTACTTAATTTTTTCACTAAATAATTTGATACACTAGTTACAGACCCTTACAAAATTCTACACATGGAATATTTTCCCTCTTTATTTTTTGTTGTTTATTGAGAAATTGTATCACAAATTTGATACATTTATCTGAAAATTTTATTTTGATAAAAATCTATGTTTAATATTACAGTTTAAATAAGTTTCACCAAGTGTAATACCTATACAAGAAATTTCCAAGAATAAATATTTTACCCAAAACTTGAGATACAGTTGCATTTAAGACAATAGTTTAGATGAAGAGTAATTATGTGCTGGAATTGTGGAGATGAGATAAAAATTCTCGATTATAAATATACAAAAGCATAAGAAATAACATGAGCTTAATGTGTCGTGTTGTGGTTTGTACAGAGTATCCTCCTTGTGCTGAAGGTGAATTCACTTGTGCCAACTTTCGTTGCATTTCTATGTCTCAACTATGTAATGGGGTAAATGACTGTAAGGATAATAAAACAACAGATGAGAGTCATGATAATTGCCCCAACAACCGAACTTGTCCAGGAAATCACATGAAATGTGAGACAACTAACATCTGTGTCGAGCCCTACTGGTTGTGTGATGGAGATAATGACTGTGGTGATAATTCTGATGAAAACTCCATCATCTGCTCTCAAAGATCCTGTCCTCCAAATAGTTTTAGGTTAGAAAATTTTAATACTGTATTAATATGTATATTGATATTCAACAGTACAGTTTTTAAACCTAAGCCATAAGTAAAATTTGCTGCTTTATTTTTGTAACAAATTTTATTCACAATGATTGAAGTGCCACAAATTCAATATATTAAAAAAACTAGCATATTTCACACAAATATCTAGCTGGAATTAATTATAAATCATGAAAGATTTTATTCTGTTGTTACTTGCATAATGCAGATAGTCCAGTCTTTATGCTGAAAGAAACAAACATAAAATTTTTATGTTGAAATTTAAGTTTTCCATAATCTATTTGTTAATACTCTGTTGAAGTATAAAAACTTCACTTTTTCCTGAGAATAGTCCTGTTTTTCAAGGTAGTTTACAACAAAAAGTGACAATTTACTGAAAATATTACATATTGTTGATCATAGGGATTGGAGAACAAAACCTTTCAATTAATATTTCTTTACATAAATTAAACTTGAGAATATTATAAGTCATAAAATGGTTTTACTATACATGTATGAGTGACAAAGTATCTTCATTGCTGTTTGAGAAAAACATGAATTTCAAAGTTTTTGTGTGGATAAATAACCAAAAACAATCTTCAGTCAAATTAAATAAAAATACATAGACATTTTTTAGAAGATGTATTTTCTTCTAAAGTTTTTTAATTATTATTCACTGCATAAAAATAATGTTTTTATAGTTAATTGGAAAGCCCAAAGTATTTATAAAAAAAAGGTGTTCAAAATGCTCATAAAATTGTGCATATTCTTTCTACTTTTTTTTATCACTTTGATGGATTTACATATACATTGGGAAATTATGTCCTAGATCTGAAAATATCATACAAATGTTGTTTAAACAAACATTAAATTTTCCCACATACTGTGTGATAACATGGTTACTGTAACTTACATTTTAGCATTTATGCTACAGCATATCAGCATGTTGACAATTTAAGAAAATATTTTTACAAGAAGCCAAATAGGGTTAGTTTTAGGGAATGTGGGACCCAGTTTCTAGTTCTTCCATATTCTCATTTGAAACAATTAGGTATTCAGAGAATTCAAATCACAAGGAACCAGTATGCTGGACACCCTCTTTTAGGAGGAATAGAGTGATAATACATTTTCCATATAGTGTATCTTGATATTTATTGATGACTTAGCATAAGCATTATCTTATCAAATTTTTAAAAACAAAACGATTATGATATATTAGTCATTTCAAGTACATGCACCACCATTGCCATCTTCACCAACAAAATGCTCTTGAGTGTAATCATTTCCTGGTGACATAAACTGTTATTGGAAACAAAACATTTTCAAACTGGTTACACAAATACATTTTACAAATCTGAAAAGAGTATGAGAACTGGTGATAACATTTCAGTTGTTCATTTTCAGTATTTTGGTTTTGAGAAGGTTTTTGTGTCAAGACTAAAGAAACTTCTACTGCAAGCTAATGAAAACTTTATGAAGTTTGAAAATTTTACAGATCAATCTTTGATTACACAAAAGTGTTATGTCTTGCTTAACAGGTGCGGGAACCAACGATGTATTCCAGCTACTTGGTACTGTGATGGTGATGATGATTGTGGAGATAAAGCAGATGAGCCAGAAGAATACTGTGAAAGTGAGAAGAAGACTTGTTTTGGTGATTTATTTACCTGTGACAATGGAAACTGCATCCCACGAATTTATATTTGTGATGGTGACAATGATTGCTTAGATAATTCTGACGAAGATGCTCGCCATCAGTGTGGTAAGTTCCCTTATGATGGTTTTGTTTTTCTTACATATAATTTTATTAATTTATGGATTTAAGCTTTCTTTGGTCAAGTATTAAGTTTTTTTATCTCAGTTTTGCACAGTGGAATCAAATATTTCTGATAATGTGTGCAGTTTTGTTAAATTTATTAAAATGTGATCCATCTGCTGGTAAATAATAGAAAATAAGAAAAATCTCAGCATTTACTAAACTAATATGCTGTTTGAGAAAATTATGGAGGTAACATAATAATAATACTACCCTCTGGTTCAAAAATCACTGTATGTGTGTAGCAATATTGGAACAAGCCACTAGACTGTTTACTCTTTATTGACACATTGTAATGCATAGTAAAATAACTGAATAGTTTATTTGGGATTACCTATTGTTCTGCACATGAAATTTGTATGCATAATGGTCAGTAGCCCTGAAAAGATGCATGATAATAAACAAACATCTTATCATCACGTCATTGCCTTGTATTAATTCCAGCTAGAAAATACCAAAAACATTTTACCATCCAGTAGGAAAGAAATTCCCCAGTAAGATATCCACTCCAATTAAAACTTAATTTTAATTGTAGAGTTCACCTGTGCCTAAAATACGCTTAAATTACTAACTTTGATAATACTAGCCATTGATATTAGTTACTGGCAATGAATATTTGTGATAAAATTCCTTCATTAAAAAGTATCTCAAGATTAAGACAGTATCATGATAATCAAATTGGACATTGAGTTGTGGGATACTCAGAAATAAACCAAAGCAATTTGCACTCAATTTGGTTTGAATTGTTTTTAATTTTGCACAAAGCTAGATGAAGTCTATCTGCACTAACTATCCCTAACTTAGCAGTGAAAGAGTAGAGGAAGGCAACTAGTCATCACCACCCACTGCCCACTCTCGGGTTACTCTTTTACGAACTTATAGTGGGATTGACCATCACATTATAATGCCCCCACTGCTGAAAGGGCGAGTATGTTTGGTGGGATGGGGATTTGAACCTGCGCCCTAACCACCAGACCAAAAGAGTACATATGCCGTTAATGTGCACTTGAATTTGATAGCAATATATCAGTTTCTTACCTTGCTACAAAGGGTAAATGGAAACGAGAGAAAATGTAGTAAATGTAAGTATTAGAGATACACTAATAGGAAGTTTGAAAAAAAGAGTGTTACATTTAAACTTAGCATACCATCAGTTTCTTACCATGCTACAAAAGTATAAATGGAAAAAACAGTTTAAAATATGACAGAAAAAATAAAGTATGGTAAGAACACATAAACATAAGAAATGGGAAGTTTAAAAACAGTGTTTTTAACTCAAATTCAAACTCAGAAGTTCAATTCATATGTAAAACAAAGGAGGATAAACTTTGGATATTTAGGTAGAACTCTTGGAAAATCTAAATTTATAGTCAAAATCCAGTGACAGAACTCTGACAAAAAATTAAATCTTAATCAGAATATCATGTTAGTTTGTGAACAGAGAAGATCAAAAAAGTTATGGCCATAGTTCATTATTTCTGGACTCTCCCTTTGGTTTCCAGTCTTATGTTATTGTATTTTAATTGGTCTAATAAAATATATCTTTAAGACAGTTTAAACTGTGACAAACATTGTTTTCTCCATCCCATTTTATGAGTTATTGCTAATTAAAAACACATAAAATAAAATAGGAATAACATGGTTTGTGTGATAACTCCTCATAACAGAGTGAAATATACAAATAGAATTTTGAAAATCAGTTTTACTTGTTTAGAATAAATTCTAGTTTTGGATTTATTTCCAATATTATTAGTCACTTAACTACTATTTATATAATTTTTAATAATATAATTTAATTAATTAATCACTAAGAGCCAGGGCAACAACAAATGAATTATATCACATGTCTATTATATCAAGTTACATAACATACTTATCATAAGACATTTATTTTTTGTTCTGTTAAGAATAAACTTTTGCATTCAGTAAGGTGTCTATCTCATGATAAAGCTTTAATATGAAACTTTCAGGAATTAAAGAATTTTCATTGGATACTTACTGTTTCTCTTCATTAAACACGATTCTAAAATTATGTGACTATTCTCACAATTTGCTTACTATTCTTTCTCAATACTCAAGCATACAATAGCTGCAAGAAAGAATCATAAAGTATTGGCTACTTTAAACTTATTCATCTGGAGAATCTTCCAGGTTTATCATCAATATATTAGCTATTGTTCCTGAAGTTTGCTTTTGCACTGGTTTCTGGTGTTTTTTAACCCTAGTATTGCCAACAAGATCAGTATCCATCAGCTTCTTGAACACACTTTCCTAAACTGTGTATGTGACAAACTGCTTGTGGGTCCATGATTTTGTTAGTTATAGGGTACCTAATAGCATAAGAGTTGCACCAAAAAACATGTACCATTAAGCACTCTAATTACTGCTGGGCCCTATTTGTATTTTACATATAAAATAAATTATTTCATCCAATATTTTTTCATTTCTTTACAATGAGTGTTGTAATACTCAAAGATATGAAGTTACTCCATATGGCATATTATGTGGATCTGCATCAGTATTGAACAGTAACAGAATAAGTCAGAAATTTAATGGTTGAGTTAAATTTGAATTCCCTAAAGATCATCAAAATATCTTAGCTCCTTGCTACTAGTAGCCAAACTATCTACTATATTTCTGATATATAAACATTTTAAAGGTTGTTAAAACAAGAATACTCTTTAAGTGTTGTAACAAATTTGTTGTTATATATTTATTTTAATATCAACGTTTGTTTTGATTAAATTTGTATTTGAAAACACATAGCTTATGCTGTTAAATATGTATTGCGAAACTCCCATCTATTCTCCAAAGTTATAGAAGATTTTCGAGAGTAAGAATCAACAATATATGTGTGTACATAAACATTTAAGTTGTATTGTTACGTAATCTGAATTTTCTAGAAAACCTTCCCATGGCCATAAATATAACCAATGCACTGCACCAAAGAGAGTATCTATTATTAGTTTGCTACAGGCAGTGTGCTATAAACTGTGGAAGCTATAACTGTGATTGTTATAATGCTTACCAATCAGAAAACTTCAGATATTTGACCATGAACATTTATAAATTTCGAATGTTACAAACCCTTTAACTTCAGTGGATTCACATCGGACATTAATACTTTTACGAAAACATTACCTAACTTCAACGGTGGAAAACTCGATGTGTGTGTGGCAATGGACAAAGTTCACTAGCTTCCCGTTAAGCGAATCGTACCTATATCAACTTGCTTATCGTGAACCCTCGATAAGATATCAAGGAAGTTCCAAACTAG